CGTGCGTAACATATTATACACTATAATATTATATAGGCGTCATACTAGACGCAAGGTGCCCCTCGCTTGCGGTACGTTGTATTATATTTTCCTCTGCGAGTCTGCAGAGTGTATACTGCGCGTACTGCGTACCTATATCGATATCACATAATAATATATTTATATTATATACCATATATAATTATGTTGTACCTACTCGCCTAGGCATACTATTACCTATGCATATACACTATACATTTTACGTTGTTATGATAAATACCTTAGTAATGTATACATATAAATATGATGGTCAGTGTAGCTATAGTAGTCTCACGTGGATTTTATACGTCTGTATGGTTTAGGCGGAGCTGTGTTTAGCTCGTATAATATCAGCTTTTATTCGTTCATGTTAAACGCTTATTTATAACTAATACCTGGGATTTTTAGAATAAAACATATTTTATTACGGTATAGGGTTGGAGTTTTGGAACGATAGTGAAAATTTATTAAATATTTTATGATCCAATAYCCMAGTATTAAATGATACAATTTTAATTTACATAACATAAAAGAATGTTTTTGAAACTTGTTGTTTCAATCRGAAAATAATCGTAACTTCATGGTGATATCAACTTTTATGAATAAATTGTATATAATAACAGTATAAGTATTAGTAATTCTTTATTTAGATATCGAATTCCATCCAAAGTAGTTCATAGGTATCTATATTWAAAAAAAAAAAAAACAGTATTTGAATATTTTTTAGACCGTATGATTTTTTAAAACTTCTTATGAGTAAGTTTTTAAAGTTTCAATTCTTTGCTATGAAAATCAAATATTTTATACATTTTCAAAAAAAAAAAGATTTGCAAATGTTCATATTTTTGATTAATTTAGTCAACATTTGAACTTTAAATGCATAAATATTATAGTCATTATAAACCCAGTAATAAAATATAATAGCCAGGAGTGGAGTTACCCAGATTTCGTATGAAAAAACAAACATATAATATTATAGTGTTAAAAGTATTTAATCACCCATAACTCACATAACTATTATATCTAAACTTTATTCAATTTAATGCATACATTGTGATTAAATTAAATTAAATATACAATTTATTATTATAATAACTTTTCAGATAATATTGACACAGTTTCATAAATTCCATTGCCAACTTTAATATGATCTGATTGGAGAATATTATAGGTTCGTTTGGATTATTTTCTGAACTACGTTTAATAATCAATAATCATACTATTATGTGTTTTTGCTTAGGTATATATTTCCATAGGATTTGCAAGTCGATGTAATGTCGTAACGAACGTCAAAATGTTATGTACTTATTTATTTCAATAAGGATATTTTTATGCTATAAACCTTGTATAGTTTTGTATTAATAATTAACCGTCTTTTGAATTTTYTCAATAACGTTTTGAGTGAATAAACCCCATTATTATACTTTGAATGCAAATTATATACCTGTTCTATAATAATTTATCAACATTTAATTACATTTTTATTTGAGAATCTGAGTGCTCAAATATTTATTCTACGATGATGTGTGTTATTAATTTTATTTTTCTGTCTTTTATCGCCTTTTGAATTTTGAGGAGGAAAAAATTCTTTGACTTTATACATCAGTATTTTCTCTGGTACAAAAGTGAATCTAGCAGTACYCGCCTTAGCCCCTTTTTAGGTTTAAATTCCAATTATTATATTAATATCTAGGTAGGYAAGTAGTTAATAGTTATATTAAAAGATTTGATTAATAATTAAATATTTTAATCATTAGTTATTATGAAAAACAAGTAACAAATAAGCATAAGCATATGGTGGTTTWCTGAAATGTACAATAATTAATTGTTTGTATAGGTAAACTTCAGTAATTGTGTATGTACCAATGTACCTATTACAAATATTCAAAAATGAGTTTATATTATTAAGTTATTATTATTTTGTACACTTTTTATTTGATTTCAACATGGATGTAAAAAAAATTATATTAAAACTTACAAAATAGATATAGGTGCCAAAAGTCAAAGCTTAATGATTCAGGAGTTTTTAATTATATAATATGGTTTCTTAAAAATGATCGCCTAGTGTGTTTGCGTATTGGTATCATATTATATTGATCTAAATCTTATACCGTATTATATAATATTACTTGTCTTGTTCGTCGTATTCTATCAGTCATGACCACAAATAGAATCGTAATCACCAAACCTCTTGTTGAATCACACAGCTCATAACCATTTTGGTATACATATTACACATATATAGGCACYAGGCAGTGAAGAGCCCGATAAAGCTCGATAAAGGCACATTTTCAAATATATTTTTCTCAAAGTAATTGTATTAATGATTCAACATGACGCTTATCGTGGTGCCTATGATCTATATATAATAATTTGTCACAAATCTTAAAAAATAATTTTAAATATTATGGAAATGTGTAGGTGCACAATACACATGGTATAATTATATTATAARCAGTTGAAAATTATAGTATGTTCATTAAAAAACAGCAGAATCATAATATATATGGTGTATGTATTATGTAATATACAAGTATTAATTAGGTACCTATAGGTAGTAGCATTTTATTTATAAATTTAAACTTCCGTGTCTGTATTTAACGGAAATACGATTGATTGTTTTAGAGGCTACCATTGAATTGGCTCCCAATTTTGGGTAAATATAAATTCGATCCTTGAATTGGCTCCTGAAAAATGTATATTTAAATTGGCTCCTTAAATTGTTAAATATTATTTTTTAACCAGGGATTCTCATATTATAGGCGTTTACTTTTACGATGTAAAATCCAAATATATTCAACTTTTTATATACCTATATTAGATAGTACTCAATCTGATACAAAAATTATTATAAGTATAGACCCCGAAAAATAGTCTTATACATATAATATTTTTGTTTAACTTATTGATTTTTATGTATAAATTTTATAATGACGCACTTTGCTAAAATACTGTCTGTTTTTTCTAATTTTTTAATTTATATAATATACATAAATTTTATAATGACGCACTTCGGTAAAATATTTTCTGTTTTTAAATTTTTTAATATAATTTTGTGTAACGAATTACGAATTATACGTACTTTAAATTATTAACATATTGGCAATCAATAAATTTTTKAAAAAAAAAACGGTAGGGAGCCAATTCAACAGTAAATTCTTGGGAGCCAATTCAAAGGTACTTAGTAAGGGTAAAATATTGACTACCTGTATTGGGGAGCCAATTCTATTGCTCCGGTTTTAGAATATACATTTTTGGACATTATTGGTATTATTGGTTTAACGATTAAGACAGTGTAGTTTTTTTTTTCATAAATTGTATCTTTGAGGTGTAATAAATAAAAATGTCTAGAATTTTTTTTTTTAAATAATCCCGAATAACTAACAAAAAAAAGAATTTTCATACAACACCAGTTTTTGACAAAATTGAATTTGGATTTTGAACTCTTGTTGCAGTTAAAAATTGGCATTGAAAGGTATTTATGGTTACAATTTTTTTTTTTTTTGTTAAATAAACTAGAGAAACTAAATAGATTTAAAAATAAAATAATTATTTGAGGGTTAAAACCGATTATTAACAACACGTTAACACATTCGTATAGTGAAACATTGATGTTTAAATAAAATACAAGTTAGGTACCTACTAGTAAGTACATAAAAATTAAAAATTATAAAAACAAATTAGTATTTATTAAATATTAATAAATATTAATTTATTATAGATCGGTACATGTATCTAGTATCTACTATCTAGTAGTCTAGTCTCTAGTTCTAGTACTAGTAGATATACTAGTAGAAGTATGATGGCTGATGACTGTTAATATTCATTATTTTAATTATTCCAATTTATATAAAAATGTGAAGAAAAATAAAAACTCTTAAAGAAGAAACCAAGGACACTTAAAAACCCCTTATGTATATATATATATATATATATATATATATCCCTTGTGTCCACTTTAAGGCAAACCTTAAATTCAAAACTGGACCATTGTGCAGTAATTTTAAAATACTTATATGATGTGTAGAGTAGTACGAATATTGAGCATCAAACCAATTTTTCTAAAAACTTTGCTTCCCCTAAAGTTTATTAGTAATGCAAAAGCAAAAGTAAGCAAGGTGAGTTCTGATCTGAACTTGAGGTGTAGAGTGTAATTCCAAGAGCGACTTGACTAATGGCACTACACACTGGAGAGGGAGGAGGGTTAGGAATGAAGAATTAAATAATACAATCATAATATTATGATCTTATTTAATACATGATGGTGATGAGTAATGACTGATGACGGATGGCTTTATTCCAGCTCGGGCAATCGTTTGTGAAGGGGCGGTAGCCACTAGTCACCGGCCGGGCCGTCGATCGCTCGAGCTGCTCGGTCTGACGGTCGGTAGGGACCTGAAGGGAGGTGTGTGAGAGAGAGAGAATGACGAGACTACCACCTACATGYAGTAGCACCAAAAGGAATTGTGTAAGCTTTTTACGACTGGTGAGTGGTGAGTGACGGCGGGTGCGGGATTTCGAAGCTCGCTCGTGCGCATGCGCTTTGAGGCCGACGACGTCCGATCATAGCATGCTCGGCCGGCCACCACGGTTCATTCCATAATTTGTCAGTTGTTCCCCTTTATCATAATTATCAATATTATAATTATTACGAATGCATTTTTGTTCTCTTTCACGCACCGTAGTCCGTACAAGCTACAAACTTACCAGCACAAAAAGTAAAAATAGAGTTAATAAAATATCATAATTTCCATACAAAAATACAAAATATAAGCCTGTTTACATTATAGTATTATTAATATGTATAGTCTGTAGTTGTTATCTTCATCAATCGTCATGTGTTGACGCACCGGGGATGTGTGCGTGTCTGCGCGTGCGTGTAGCGGTGCGAATGCGAGACTGCGAGAGTCCTATGTGTGTGTGCATCGCGTACCGATGTCATTAGCATAATAATAATAATAATATGTATAATCATGATCACAATCATCATAACCATAATCATAATAATAATCATATGTATATTATTTACATAAATTTAACCGCGTTTAACGACATCGATTCTCAAACGTGTAAAGTTGTCGTTTTACGATTTATATAGTATGATAGCCGATAGAGTACTTACATGTTATAATTATTTCTCAATACTATTATAGGTATCGTTCGTTTAACGGTTAATTCGAAGTTTAAGCGACATTCGAAGTTTGAACGCATCGAACGTATGATATTAGACGACGACGACGGCGCCGCCGCACACGTCGAAAAGAGTCAGACGCGTCTCATTTTCCCACACTCTCCGTCGATCGCTCGCTCTCGGACGCCCGGACGTCTTGTCGTCTCTCCCGCACGCGTCTTGCTCTACTTGCCCTGTCACTGTCTCTTTTTTCATTCTCTTTTTCTTCGTTTCTTCGTTTCGTTTTTTTAATTTTGCATTTTGCGTCAACCGAAAATGTGTTTGCTGACAGTTGACCGTGTAGTTCGCCGTGCCCGTACGTGTGCGTTTGGAAAATGCCACTGAGTTTGGACGGTTCTCGACGGACTGCAAGTAGCGAGTCAACTATCATAATTCATAAAATTATTACTGTTTGTCAGCTGTTTTGGATAAACCTAACAGTATACTTTTACGTGGTAGGTAACTACTAACGATTGCTGTTAATTTGTTTTCTGTTCCTCATCCCCCATACACTGACCGATAGATCACTGCAGAATTTCGTATTAATGATTCCTTGCAACAAAGAGCTCAACCATTCGGCTACCTATACCTTAATCACATAATAATTTTTATTTAACAACACAATTTTTGTGTACCCCTATGCACATCTTGTGAAAATTGTATTTTTATGACTACTTGTGAGAGCACTCCAGATTGTTCAAAAGAAATATTTGCTAGGATAGGAATATTTATCAAGTACTTATTTTTATTTTATTTGAATAAAAAATGCAAGTAAGTAGGCTAACAAAATATGTCGTTTTACTAGTATTTTTAACTATTTATTTTTTTCAATAGTACAATTCATAATAATTAAATACGAGATTAAATACTTATCCAAGATACCTAATAGGAACCTAGGTATATTTATTTAGGTATACATTTTATGATATAAAAGTAAAAAATTAATTAATAAGTATTATCCTGGGTATTTTATTCTTGGTACTTATAAATTAGTCTTGATTATGTACTTTTKATAAAAAGTGTTTATTCAGTGCCATCTGTATCCGATTTCTTAGAACTGTCATGTATACTTTTCAAAAGATTTCTATCTACCGACTTACATTTAAATTTACATTTCATTAATAAGTATAATGTTAATTAATATAGACAAACTAACTTTCTATTTTGATTTATATTTCAGAATTTATTGTTTCCGTTTATTTTATTTGTTTATTGAAAACAAAAAAAAAACTAGYCAAGAAATCTAAAAAAGAATTATAATTATCAATATGATGCAAAACGGAATGGATTCACTACCACTTAATGGTTCAATACATACCTCAAGTACAAATTCCCATGCATCACAAGGAAATTCTTTGAATGAAGAAAGTAAAACAAACCTTATTGTTAATTACTTACCTCAAACAATGACTCAAGAAGAAATTAGATCACTATTTTCTTCAATTGGGGAAGTTGAAAGCTGTAAACTTATAAGAGATAAAGTCACAGGTAAGCTTATATATATATATATATGTATTTATGTTTTTATTTTTTCAAAAAATTATTCATAGTATTCTGAAATGTTTATAATTATTATGATGACCTATGATTATTGATTATCTACTATTATATTCATGTACAAACGATAATTTAGTTAGTGCAGTATAGAATGGTATACCTTAGTGTAAAAAATAATTATATAAATTAAACGATTTTAATATTAATTTGTTGGAAATTTAATAAAGGTAAAATAGATGGCCTTAATTTTATTATTAAATAAATTATTGGGTAAAAAGTACCTATATATGTACATATTTTATTCATTAAACCAAATTTCTCGTGCTCGATCAGAACTGTGTCTAAAATATTGACACCTGAGAAATTATTTACTCTAAAATTTTTAATGTAAAAATACTCAAAACATTCATTAGGTATAATTTATTAGTTGATTGTCTTGAAAAATATAGAATATTTTTATAAAAGCAATAGRATCTTCAATAGGTACATTTTTAAATTTTAAATAGGTAACTGTAATATAAAAAATCCAATCAAAATTTAGGTACTTAATATTATTTTAGAATGTTGTGGAATATCTGGACACAGCATATTTATAAAATATGATAAATACATATAAACAGTAGCATATGCAGTGGTAGGGTTTTACCCCCTCCCAACATTTTCTTCTTCAAAAAAATCCTATTAACTGCCATAATCAATGTTCAGAGACCAGAGTAGATTTATTATCAATTATTTTTAAGAAGATGTCACACCCGCATGCGCTGTCTCCGTCTTACAAGCGTAAAACATAACAAAAACGGTTTTGCACAGGAAAACTTTTTTCCCTCATTATTTATAATAAAATTATCAAAACTCCACAATGCATAGGTAAAAACTTTCTCTGTGTTATGGCATCATTATTTTTTGGATAAMATAAATATAACTCAAGTTACCTATCAGCTTAAGAAAATACATTTATTTTTTATTTTTTATTTAATTATTAAAAATTATTGGTTTGTGCCATCAAAAAATTAATGATGCTATAACACAGATAAAGTTCTTACCTATGTATTTCTGATATTTGTTCTATAAAATACTGAGGGAGAAAAGTTGTCCTGCGCAAGTGCAATGTTTTCTATGTTTTACGTTTGTAAGACAGAGATAACGCACATGGATATKACGTCCTCTTAACAGATTTAAAATAAATTGTTAAGTGGCAATAACTTAAAAGATCATGGTTGTAATTTTTTTTTTAGATCAAGAGAATCGCTAAACACTCATATACTCTAAATGCAGACTGAATTTAAAATAAATTCAATTATTTGTTCTAACCAATTATACAAAAATTGTATAGCAAAATATAATTTGAATGGAGATAAATTTTCCCATAGCTCTATGATTAGTCTTAGGTAAAATCCTTAACGAACTAAGAATCCTTCATTTGCTACTGGTTATAAAAGTTTAATGAATAGCATCGTTTTAATAATTGTAAATATGTAGAATGTAGAATTTATTAATAAAAAGTTGATATATGTATTACAGAAAAGTTTTTAAGAATACCTATTCCATATAGGTATACAGGATTACAGTTTTTAAAGTATGAAATAGTATCTAATAATAATCTAAATAATATCTAAATTTATACCAAATATAAAAAAATTAATTTGTATATATTTTAAATTCTTAAAAAATTGTTTAAAAATGTTCTGAAAAGATTTAGTAAACCAAACACTTTATCAGCCAATACCTATTTAATAAAAAATATTAAAAAATAAATAATATTTATGATGTATGCTTAATGCTTATATGTATGTACCTACCTATGTAATATGATGTTGTTAAAATATAATTCCTATTAAATTGAACATACCTACCAAAATACCACAGTTAGTTTTCACAAAAGTTTTGTGTGTGATGGTCCTAAATATATCATTTAGAATATTTACTCTTTCAAAATTAACAATTTTGATATTAATAATTAATATATTTACTATATTTCTTTGTATATTATCAAATTCATTTTAATTGATAGATAGGCATTTACAGTTGGTATTGTTACTGTAATAATGCTTATAATTATTACTGAAACTATACCTAATAATTATAGGTAAAGATTAATATTAAATTATTCATTTATTTAGAGCTAGAATGGGAATCAGACTTATTACTTAACCTGTTATTTAATTAGTTGGATAATACACTTTTGATCATTTTTTTTTTTTGTGGTATGAAATCAATCCCTAAAACAATATTCCATAAGCATTTGTTTTTATCATATAGTACCTGATGGAGACGTATTTAATTTTTACAGTTTTTTCACCTATAATTTTTGCTTATTGAAGTTTGTTTAGTCAAATAAATGAGGTCCAAAGAAWAAAATCTTTGTCTAATCTTTATATTTTTATTATGATAATATAAAGACATTAAAATTGTAAAATTTGTTGACGGTCCAATTTTCTGGCTTCAACAGTCCGGATTTGGACCCAGGTCCACTAGTTGCCGACTGTTGAAATAAAATGTTTTTTTGTAGAACAACCAAATTATTGTAAGCTTAAAAGATGTGTGAATTATTTGTATTATCAATGAGTATATTAATAACTAGTTTTTATTTTTAGCTTTTTATCATAAATCTAGCTCAACAGTTACAATATTATTAACTAGTTAAATAGTTTAATTTTAAATGTAATTTTTGTGAATATAATCCGAGATATAATCGAATCAGAACATGTATAGTACCTTGGTTAAAATGATAAATAACCATTAGTTTGTACAATGTAAATTACATTACAATAAAATGTAATAATTTTAACTGGTCTGATTATTAATAAAATACATTTTATRTGTAAAATATAAATTTCTAACAAATACCTATCAGAAGGATTTTTTTTATTGAATTTTTTATTATAATTATTAGTATTTATTAGTTGGTACTAACTTGCCTAATAATTAAAATAATTTCTCGACTTTTAATGAATTAGTATGAACTAAAATTAAATATAAAAAAAATAATTAAATTTTTACGAGTGGTATGTTATTAATGATAAAATAAATAACTTTTGTTTACGATTTTATAATTTTTCATTTATTTTAAATAGGTAACACTTTATATTTCRTTTATAGAAAATTTTTATTTTTATGTAATGGCATTTTAAAAATATAGATACTCATAACATATGTTTTTGTTTTTACTTTTATTTTTTCATGCTTTTTCACAACAGGATCTCTTCCATCAGGTACTGTAATTTAAGCCTTGTTAGTTCTTAATATGGCAATTTTTAATTAAAAACTAGGATGTATCATTTTTTTTTATTTAAAAATGTATTATTTTTCTGTACTCATTAACACATTTACTTTTTATAAAGATATCTACTTATTCTACTTAGTTCTCAAATAAAGTATAGAATTAACTGTATTATAAAGTAGTACTGTAAAGTATTTAAAATCAGAATTATTATATATTATGTTAATGTTACAAATATTTACCCATTATAAATTGAACAGGATTTTATTTTTACTATTTTGTGTTTTTCACTAAATCTGTACATTTAATTATTATTATATATTTATTTATTAATTGATTAATTTTTTTTTTTTTGAGGGGGGAGGGATGGAGAAAAATCAACAATTACAACTTAAATTTCATATAGCCTCTCTATAGATTAGAAATTGAATACAGATGGTACTTTAGAGAGGACATTTTGAAATTTGTCAGAAGTTAAAAAAAAAATGCTGTTAAGTACAATTAGAGYCTAACGTTTTAATAAAAAAACTTAAGTATTACATATTACTTGAAAAATGTTGTTCCTTTTTTGTTTTAATTTTTAATATTTGACATTTTTATATTGAAGTATTGTAATTGTTAAATATAAATTTAATCATAAAATAATGAGATTTAAACTATAATTTATATTATTTTTATTTTTAAATTTACAATTTTTATAATAGCCTGTTGGAATTATTTATGCCTATCGGAATAAAAATCAATGAAAAGACTAGGTGTCTACACAATAGTAAAACCTCTAAAGTATATCTAACTCCTTTCTTTTAATAATACTTTATTTCATGCTTATATAATACTGATTATAAATATTAACATTCATACATACATTTATACATACAAATGGGTACATACATATATAGTTAATTACTCAATAAATTAATTTGATATTTAATTGTTTGACCATTTAATTTATATTTATCATATTGGGCTATGTTCATCACAATTAATGAATGATATGCATATTTTAATTGTTCAATTATTTTTGTTTGTAGGTCAAAGCTTGGGTTATGGTTTTGTTAACTATCATCGGCCAGAAGATGCAGAAAAAGCAATTAATACTTTAAATGGACTAAGATTACAAAATAAAACAATTAAGGTACATTTAATTTTTTTTTACATAATATTCACAATATTAGGTAATYAGTGTCCTAGTAATTAATTGTGATAAAAAACGATTTAAGGTGTCATTTGCWAGACCTAGTAGTGAAGCAATTAAAGGAGCTAATTTATATGTCAGTGGTCTTCCAAAACATATGACTCAACAAGACCTTGAAAATTTATTTAGTCCTTATGGTCGGATAATAACATCAAGAATTTTATGTGATAATATGACTGGTGAGTTTAGTTTTATATTTTCATTGTGTTATTGTTTGCCTTGAAATATTCTAATGGAAGAAATATTACTGATATGTTCACAGTGCGACAATTTGTGGGAAATACTGGAGGAGATCATTCGCCGTGTAAGTTATTGATTTTAATAAAATTATAATAGTTGAATAATTGTGATAATACTTATTCTTGGATAATTGTCTAGTTCTTAACCATTTTTTTATGAATATCATAAACATATTGAGGTTTAATTTAAAGAAGTTAATCTGGAATAAATATAATTTTATATTCTTGGTGCAATCATTTTGTGTACAAAGTTAGAATTTAATTAATAGATTTTTCAATCAGTATTTATTATTAATATTTTTAAATAAAATTTAAACTTATAATTTTGTAAATATTTATCAAAAAATCAATGTAAATTATTTTTAAAATAATTATTTTAGATAATAAACTACAATATAACTAAAAAAAAATAACTGCCAATAGGTCTAAATCTAATGACTTAACAATAACTATCATAAACTGCTAATGATTATTTTTTGTGCTCTCGACTAAAGTATAATCTTAACTAGTAATAAATACTCAGAATAAAATATATTATTTGCATTACTAAATTATTTATTTTATATAGGTATATAAAATAACTACAATTAAAAATAGTTGTAAAAGAAATTAATTTTTGTCCTTAATAATTTATTGATAATATTTATAAAATTATTTTTTATTTAATTTGACACAAATAATTATAAACTATGATTTGTTTAATTATTATTTTGCATGATGTTTTGACCACTTAGTGTATAAGTGGTCAAATGTGTTATACATTTTATTTACTACAATTTCTTTTTAGCAATTTCAAAAGGTGTTGGTTTTATAAGATTTGATCAGAGAATTGAAGCCGAACGAGCAATTCAAGAATTAAATGGAACTGTTCCCAAAGGTTCAACAGAATCAATTACTGTGAAGTTTGCCAACAATCCTAGTAGCAATAAAGCAGTACCTGCATTAGCAGCTTATTTAACTCCTCAAGGAGCTCGAAGGTTTGCTGCTGGCCCTATTCATCACCCTACTGGGCGCTTCAGGTATATTCCACTCTCCCCTTTATCCAGGTATGACCACATTTCTTCTCTTCATTTGTTTTACAGTGATATTTTAGAATCAATTCATTAACAATTTATTTTAAATTACCATTTTTTCATTAAAATTACTAATAAAGAAATTTAAATAATAATTTGGTTAGACAAAAAGAGAAAATATATTACGTTAAATATACATTAACAACAATAATATACCAGATATATAAAACACAAAAATTATAGTTAGATCACAAAAATAAGTGTTAATGACATAATATAATATACAATTTGCCATTTAAATAATTTAATTTTTGTATTTATGACTAGGGGATAATAATTTAAAAAACTTCATTGATAAAAATAAATGYTTGGTTTTTCAAAAAAACAATATATTATATTTAATGTTCATTTAAACATAATAGTTAAGGATCTTTCCATTAGATTTTTATTAGAAGTATATTTTTTATTCGTTTAATGAACACATCATAAATTGGTAAATTATACATTATTTAAAGAAAATTTTTCTTTTTATTATTTCTCAAGTGCTGTTCATTTACTTAACATATTTGAGATTGTAGTTAGTTATATATTTTTAATACTTTATATTTATTTATTATACTTAATAGCCCAAATTGCGGTACTTAAATTCTAGTGTTACTTTTTTTTTTAAATATCATAGTTAAAATGTATAGTTTACAATACTAATTATATCAATACCTTGAATCATAAGAAAGTTTATCATATTTTTACATTTTAATTTGGGCATGTTAAATAAAATGAGTTTGTAATAGTTTTTGATCAATACTTAGTATTGTTTCAGTGTTTCAAAAGTTAAATTTGATACATATTATAATGGTTTTAATTGAACTTTTCATCAAACATTAAACAAATTAATGTAGTTTATTATATGAAATAAACCAATTTAGTGTTTAWTAAAGTTATAAAGACTTAATACATAGAGGTATAGGTAATCACAAGTTATCTATGGTTCTATTCATTTTATGATGAATACCTATAAATCTTTGTTTTAAATACTCTTATAATGTTCATAATTTTTTTTTTCAAAATTGTTTATGTTACGTTAAAAATTAATCTTCCTCGCTTTAAACAAAAAAGAAAAAATTATAATTCCATAACTATTTTAATAGGTAACCAAATTAAATTATGTTACGTCTTTGTTTTCTAATATCAAGATATATTTTATATATTTATTTGATAATTTTGAAAATATTTAAATGTCAGATTCTCTAATTAAACATTGGTATGTTTTAACACTACACAACATTTTTCTCACAGATAATATATAATTTTAACTCATGCCTGAAATACTAACATTATATTTTAAACTGTTAACTGTGACTGTATACTGAACCTCTGGGCTCTAATTAATTTATTATATAATGACATATTTTTAACTGCTTATTTAATGAAAGTAAAGCGATGGTCATATTTTATAATAAGTTTTACATTTTGATTTCATGTATAAATCACCCACCCTTCGTTCTTTTTAACTTTATATTATTTACGTAATCATATTATTATTAAAGAACCAACATTTACCTGATTATTTAAATTTTTATTAATTAGTGATTACAGTATTTTTTAAATTTATTATTCTTTAATATCATTAAAGTTTTAGTATATATTTTAATTTTGTCTTTTGTTTTGTTTTTATTTATTTATTTTATTTTACAAAGTGTGGCAGCTTATAAATAGTGTTGTTTTACAATTTTACTTTATTTGATTGCACATTATACTATTCTACTAATATATTAATATACATATTATAAAACAAATTTTTAATAACTAAAGTTTTGATAAGTAATGTGGTTGTGATGTTCTTTAAGCTTATAACAATATATGATTTAAATTGAAAAAATAAATATTTTTGTTTATCTAATCAGAATTATTAAACTGTACTTCAGTGTAATTTTATTATATAGATATAAATATTGACAGTATTAAATAAAATTTGCAATATAAAAATTAGATTTTTTTCATATTTTAATGGAATATTAATTACCAAATTAATTTATTTCAAATTACAATTGATTAATTCACTTCTATTGTACATTTAATGCATATTAGTATAATATTTGATTTTTAGATTCAACTTTGTATGAATATACACATTTCCATATATGATAAATGCTTTAATAAAGTAATATTATGTTGCTGGTATTTAATTAATATTATTATTATTTAGTTTCATATTTTTTTTTTATTGTTATTATTTAATTCCTTTGAGTCTATAACCTTAAAGAACATTACAGTGAGGTATTAGGGCTAGGAGGATTCAGTTCCAGTTTTGTGATAGTTAAACAAGTATGTCCTCTCAAATTAACTTATTTAGCATGATTGGCATTTTAGGGACATGATGTATATCATTTCAACATTTATGAAGTGGGATTAAAACTGTATTCTATTAAATTTATCATTTTTTATGCATAAATTATATTGTTTATTAAAAAATCATTAACTGTAATTTAAATAAAATAACTAATTCTTACTCCTAAAATTCCTTTGCGGTTGATGTTCATAATTTACATTATTTGTTAATGATTTAAAAAAAAATATTCTTAATAATTTAAACTTGACTTTAAACTCAATAACCCAAACAATGGAGAGGAGAAATTGTTCATACCATTCCTGGATCTGTAGCAAAATGTAATTAAAAACCAATGGATTGATGTATCACGAGATGGCATAGGTAATATATTTCCAATTATTTGTATTAAGTGCTGGTGAGCACTCAAAATTGCTAGTAGGCAGAAATTATTTAAATAGAGACACAATTTACTTTCTTTGTGCACATAGAATATAGTGAAACAATGATTATGTTTAGTGTCTAAAAGAAGGGGTATTAGTATTGTTCATTGATGTGCATGTAATTATTGGCTTGTAAAAAAATCAATTTATAATTTTATCTTAAGATAGATTTTTTTTAAGTTGTTATTTATTTATATTTTAACAAATAATTTGTACCTATTATCCATTAGTATTATTTTATATGTCAAACATATGAAAAATACAGTTTGATTTATTTATTTTAAAAATGTTTATAAATGAACATTTGTGATTATATATTTTGTTTCATTTAAATAAATTATTTTATCAATCAATGATAACAATGTTAAATATTTATTAAATTACATGAAATATGATTATTTAATCAAGTATAATAGTTCATTGGTCAATTTWAAAAAATATATTTTGTATTATCCTCTATGGATAAATAAAATTCTAACAATATGCAATTGAGAAGATTTATATCCACCTCCTTTTTTTTTGCATCAAACAACTGTTTAGATAACCATTTAAAATTTAATTTTACTTGTAACTTAATATTTATTAAAGCTGCCGCTCATTGTACAATTTATTTTATATAAAATTTACTGTTTGTATAAATATATATTTATTATTTTTATTTTTATTTTGTTTTAGCACTGGAAAGACTATGCTAGCCATAAACAAAGGCTTACAGAGGTCAGTATAGTTTCTTAAATAAGATGTATGAATATAAAATAAAGATTATTRTAGGTATATATAAATCCAGGTACATGCATTTAAAAAAATAAATAATTCTTAGAAAATAGTATAAAAATTAACTCGGTACTATATTATTTAATTCAAGCATATTTGTGAATATTTTTAAACAAATTGTCTCATGATAACTAGATTTTGGTTTTTTAAAACTATAACCATTTTTTTAGATTTTGAGTGGAGAAAATTAAATTGTTTTTACAATAATGTGGTTTTTTTCGTATCTCTTATCATCTTCTAGAGCAATAAAAGTGCTCAATTTTTCAACTCTGTGATTTGTCTCTTGTGGATGGTTAGATATGGTTGTATTCTAACTTTATTGAATTACATTTATTATTCAAGAAATATTAATCATAGAAACTTGAAACATTTTATTATGACTTAAATTATTGTTATTTATACAGAGTTATATGTTTAAAACATTATGACTGATTTTAAATTAACTATAGAAATTTAAATTTTTTAGTAAAAAATATAATTGGCATGATAATTTATAACCCATTAGTTGTTTAAAGAAGATTTATGTATAACATAATGTATTTTATGGACTTAAATAAATAAATATTTGAAAATTGTAATTGTAATTGTAAATGATACTTTTTTTACTATTATATTAACTGTATACTGGCACTTTAAGCTTTATTAAGAATATTAATGYTTAACAGAAATTAAGTTGACATAATTATACTAAAAATATATAGCATTACACTTTGGAATAAAATATTWTATGATAAGTTATCATTTATTTAATAAAATTAAACTATTTCAATTACCAACAATAATTTAAAAAACAAATTATGTTTTAAACTTTTAACATGAATAGAATTCTTGTAAACATCAYTATTTAATAAGTTTATCAAAATATTCTTTTCATGATATCAGTTTAATTGAATTTATAAAATAATTTAAAAATTTAATTAAATTGTAATGATTTAATTTTAGATACTCGCCTTTAGCTGGTGATTTGTTAGCAAACTCAATGTTACCTGGTAATTCAATGAATGGATCTGGCTGGTGCATATTTGTATATAACTTGGCGCCAGAAACAGAGGAAAATGTATTATGGCAACTCTTTGGTCCATTTGGTGCTGTACAAAGTGTTAAAGTTATTAGAGATTTGCAAACGAACAAATGTAAAGGATTTGGATTTGTCACCATGACTAATTATGATGAAGCAGTTGTTGCCATTCAATCACTTAATGGATATACGTTAGGCAACCGTGTACTTCAAGTATCGTTCAAAACCAATAAAGGTAAAAATGATGTTATTAGTAATTTAGAATATTTATTTCGTAACAAAATCTAAAATTAATGAAAATAAAATGTTAGTGTACCGATGGTTAAGTGTAAAAACCTTTATGTATAAGAAAATTAATATGAAATATAATAATTTAAATGTTATAATTTTTAGGCAAAGGAGATGCATCCAGTTTGTTAATGTCTCTTGCTGATTCATTAACTGACTGTTAATAATTTCATCAATCTTCTTCGAATATTTTCAAATGTTTACATAATTCATTCTCCCTTCTAAAACATCTTTAACTGAATTGCAAATTCGCTGATATTTATCATGTCTAAAGAAGGTAAATTATGTTTATTTATTAATTATATTTTTAATTAGATACATTTAAATTAAATCGCGTGCACCATAATAACGTTATAAAAATAAACACTTTTCAAGGCATATTATAAATAATATACAAATTATAATTTTTTTTTTTTTTAATGTTAATATTTCCTAAAACATTTTGTTAATGTTTGTGCAATATAATTATTATTGGTACCCATCTTATATAAACAATTTCCCATTTTTCCTTTACTTTACTTTTGGAACAGATATTTAAATAATAATTGCGCAAGCATATTGACTGATAGTGTTCTGTTCTATTTAACGTTGCTAGTCTAAGATATTCCTAATATTTTATATTTTAAATTTAAATTCGTAAATAATTTATAACATTTTCTTTTTCTTTTGTTGTTATTATTCCATTTATATGTGTGCGTGTATTATGTGTGTACATAACAATGTAAGTGTGTTTATATTAAATATAAATTCATTTGTGTTTACTATATATTTAGGTAAATATCATATTTACCAATTTACATAAAATGTCCATAAGAAGCTATATGTAAGTCGATGTAATATTTTTACTTTTTTACTTGTTCTTGAAATGCCATTAGGTACAAGAAAAAACAATACATTTTATATACTTAATACAAAATAATCTTATCTTCCCCCTCACCTCACAATTTCTGATACAATTTCATATATTTTCAATTTATTTTATTGTTAAATATTTCTGAGTGAAAGTTGTTACTAGCAGTTGAGAATATGAAAATGTGATGATTAAAAACTATTGCAAGAACTATTCATACTCCATAGGAAACTTGTTCATTTTGCATTTATTAATAATTCTGAAAGAATCRAGTCAATTTCTATAACGTACCTATGTAATATTAAGAACATATTTGTTTGTTTTTTTGTTGCTTGTACGCAGTTTTGCAAGTACATAACCAAATTATTTTATTTGTTTTTACTTGCACACAAACCAGTGTGATTATTGATCTCAATGAACAGTATTCAACACTGTTTAATGACAAAAAACATGAATCAAATTAGTACTGATTTTAGTACAGAATGTTATGACAGGTGGACTTATTGGAGATTTAATGCAAATTAATAATTTAATTTAAAATTACAGGGTAATTTTATGAAGGCAAGTTTAATTTGAAAATAAAATTCCATCACTTAAAACTGGATATTTTTAATGCTATATTTATTTAATAATGCATCTTGGGTTATATTAATTCTTTTTTATCTACAAATAAAGTTTATAGATTATCWTCCATTAAAATCAGATTATATTTTAATTTTAAAAGTCGTCGGTTTTTATATAATTTATTTTGAATTTTATATGTTACAGTCCCCAATCAATTACAATATTACAATTTTTAAATTAAATTATTTATAAACTACAGATAATTGAAAAAAATACTAATTCTACATTTAATTTATTTATGAATCAGTGAATCGTATTAGAAAAATGTTTTTAAATTTTTTATAATTATCTCCAAAATCTCCTAAGTCCACCAAGTTTCTTAAAAATAAAATTTGAGTTTGATTTCTGCTTCTTTACTTTATTTAAATAATTTAAGGTCTTTTTAGTATCATCTTCCGTGTAGTTATAATTTAAAACATCACTACCTGATTACACCAGCTGTAACTGTATTTTTAGACCAAATTATTGGTCTGATTAATTATTCCTTCATAATTTAACATTCCAGCACGGTGTTTGATAGTGAAAATATTATAATATACACGGATAAAAAAAATAWAAGTTCGTAAGTTTTTTATTTTATCAGCTATAATAAAAACGTATGGAATAATAAAAGACTTAAATATAAATAATATAATGAGAAAGAGACTGAAATTAGTTATCAGTATACAAGTTAGGAAAATTACATTAAATTTTAAAGACATAAATCATAATATTAATATTAATCATGATTTAATTTACTCAATATTTATTGAAGAGTTTCTGATTCTTTTAGTAGAAAAAAACTGTCTCTATTTATTATAATCTATAAGTATTCGTGTATCATTAATTCAACCATTCTAGTTTAGTATTTTGTGTATATGACACCCAATCAATCAAAATATCTAGTTATAATAATAGAAATTTAATAAGTAGGTGTAAATATATATATATATATATATATTGATAAAAAATTTAAAAAATTAAGTTCTTATGTATATCATATGTTGATTAAAAGTTGTAAAACTGTTAGTTAGGTTTAAAAAAAATTAACTTTTTATGTTTATTAATATCTGCATAAAAAAATAAATAGGTAGCTGTTCAAATATTCATTAGGGTTTATAGTATTTTTTCTGTACTACAATAATATATTCTTTATTAATAATAATAATATCCATGCTGTAAGGTATTAATTTATTATTTATATATTCAAGAAAAATATTATCAAATTGTATGTTACAAGTAAAAATGTCGTTGATAAAATAATGTTTGATACACCCATACRTATAGTAAATAATATCTATACATTTCTTAGATATAATTTTTTTTTTAGCAATGTTTTTACAAAACTCTAGTCAAAAGATTAACATATTTTAAATTTACATTAATTAAAAAAAAAAAAACAAAAATAAAAATGTAATTTAGTTAAACATTTTAAAATTAGAATAATAGATAAAATAGTTTTATTGTAATATGTATATTTCATCAAAAATTGGTTCTGTGTGTATTTAAATGTACAAATATTGGAATAAGATTGATTACTAATTGTTTACTGTTGAGTGAAATTTAAAAAAAATTTAGTGCTCAAATTAAATTCTTTCATGAACATTTTTTTTAAAAACAATTGCTGAATCTATTTTTATATTCAACGCTCAATCCATTCAGTTGAATATTCCCAGGTTGTTTATCATGTATATGAATAACATCAATGTAATTGTTTTTTCTTGAATTTATAATGTGCAGTGCATGAACATCAAAATATTTATTTGTAATAATTTTACAATAACTAAATCACTCAAAATTAATTAACATTTCCTGTAAACTTTAAACATACTTAATTGAGCTATTTGCTTAATCTAATATTATAATATTAGCTGATCTGTAGATGCTATTGGTTATACCATTTGTTGTTGGACTTAATTCCATTATAAAATTATCAAAAAATGTATCTTCTCAGCAAATATATTTATACTTTAATATGATATCAATAACAAAATTGCTATTCTTGGTAAAATGATTATGCAGTACTTGTGCACACAATTTTATCAGTTCCAAAATATYGTAACAACTAAAAAATCAATCAAAAAGGCAATTTTGCTTAATGTATTCTAGTCATATGTTTAGGTATATCTGTATTTATTATTTTCATTTTTCGGTGCTAAATTATTCAAATACAACTTTCATATTTTCTTGATTTTTGTTAGCATTATAATATGTATGTGTTGTAAAATCACCCAGTTTTTTCTTGTACTTCAAAATGAGTAAGAAAAAGTTTAAGATTGTGAAATTATAGATTAATTAGATAATTTAATTGTTTACAGCTATAGTCATTAAAGTTTGTTACCATGTTAGGTGTGCAATAGATCGGGTTAAGTTTTAATGAATATACCACATACTATTTACATAATGGCATTTATAACTCTTTATTAAAATATAATTTTATTAGTTTATTGCTGAGTATTTAGATGTTGAATTGAGTGAAAGTGTATTCAATATTTATGAATAATAACAATAATAACAATATTTGGTTCATTATAAAATTCTGCTGTACCATACTATTCCCTGTTTAAAATTGTGTCAAAAATATAATAATAAATAAATGAAATAATAATAATAATAATATCTATAAAGTAAAGTTAATATTTAATTAAAATAAGTATTAAAAATATCCAGTTTTTGTTCTGACATCATCAATGATGTAGGTAGGTACCCAATAAAATATAATGTATTTATATTTGAACCATCAGAAATTACTCAGACATAATATTTCTTGTTATTAATGTTTAGTAAAATAAAGAACAACATTAAATTATTTGATAATATGTTGATAGAAGTTAAATATTATTTATTTGAGAGCAAGAACAAAAAAATATTTTGCAAGTTATTATAAAGATAAGATAATAAAAAAAATTGCAAATAAAATTAAACTTAACATGTATAAATTAATACAACTTTAATAACGCACATTAATACTAATTATTTTTATTTGAACTTTTAATATTTTATATTCGTTTTAATAAAATTCCGTGATAGAAATTTCAGACGTGTATTGTAGTATTTTTGATTATTAGCTTTTCGATATATATACTTGATTATTCTTATTGGTCTTAGATAATTTTTAGTAAATAATCTTATCAATTTTATTTAGATGTTTATTAAATTATTGTAATAACCAAGAAAATTATTTTTTACTTCTTTTGAAAAAAAAAAAAAAAAATGTTAGCATCTAAAATACGGTTTGTATAAGAAATTCATATTCTATTATGTCGGTATACCTATTAGAATTTAAAAAATCTATTACTTTGTATATTACATGTAATAATACATTTATTTTGGAATTCGTAATATATTTTTAAATATAAAATAAACCTAACCTAACATTTCTGGAACATCGTAAATAAAATAAGCAATTAAATAATAATAATAATAATAAAGTTACGTATTTTTTTACCTAACTAATATAATAAATATTATAAAGTAATAATATAATGGGGTTTTTCTGTTCACCATATCGAATACTTAAATACAGTCTTTCCAATTATCAAATTCTAAGCAGGGTTTTAGATTTTTTACTATAGGGTTGAAAATTTGCATTAATTCTCCTGATTTACGAAAAAAAGATTTCATTACCAATACTCGCCATAATGTCATCAGAGCGGGGCATTGTTCTTCAAAGTACCTGGATGGGAGTGAAAGGGTTTGTCCGTGCGTCCATGTAATCTATATATATATTTTATATAATAAGAGTGCTTGACACTTGTRATTTCATAAKGATCGTCTAAAATTGTTATAAAGTAAATGGTTAATCATCGATGAAACCAATATTACCTAAATAATATGTTCTTTATTGAATTGTAATCAGTTTAAGAACGATAAAACTATAAAAGTTAACTGTATTTG